CCACCTCCCTGCTCCCCAGCAAGCACAAACAAGGTCGTTGTGCATCCTTTCAAGGACATGAGGCAGAGAGGAAGGGGAGGGGGGCCCCGATCTCGCTGCCTCCTCGGCTCCCGAGGGAAGGAGGGATGGAGGGAGCCTGGCTAGGATGAGCAGAGTCCGACCCTCACGGGTCTCCTCTCGGCCAAGGAAACTGCCCGGGGACCGAAGATCCCTGTGGCCCATCGGTGGCCCGCCCGTCCCCCGCATCCCTCCCGGCCAGGAACGGAGATGCCCCGCAGACGGGTCCAAGCGAAAAGGCTGTGCTTTCCTTCTGATCGTCTGCCTGCCTTTCTGTGGCCGCCTTGAAGAATTCCTTCGTCTTGACAAAAAAAGGAAGGGGGGAGAGAGAGATCGTAGTCCTTGGGCCGTTTTTATTTCCCTGCAAGCTTTCGTAGACCAGAATCCACTTCCTCAGATACCGGAGGACCAAGTATAGGATCTTGCCCGTAGAGGTGCAGCCACAGATAAACTGTGTCGCTATTGACGCTTGGCTAGTATACAGAAGTGTTCCTTTCCAGGTGCCGAAGTGCGGTGAGTGGGTGTGAGCGCCTGTGAGAGAGAAAAATGAATGGGGGACTTTGATACAGCCGGTAGGTAACTCTCTGGCTGATTTACCGAGGTCAGAAACGTCTTGGTCAGGGAGAGGTTTCTGACTTGGTTTAAAAAAAAACCTCAGGAAAGGGGCCGTAAAAATAAAAACTGTCATGAATCTTGCACCATCTCGAAGAGGAACAGAAGCCAAATTTAGGCTGAATATCAGGAAAAACTTCTTAACTGTTAGAACAGTCTGACCATGGAATCACTGACCTCCGAAGGTGGTGACCGCTGTGGCGCTAGCGTTATTCAAGAGTAAATTGGACAACACTCTGTCAGCTCTGCTTTGATTTGGGGCTTGGACTTAGTGGCCTTAGAGGCCCCTTCCAACTCCGTTCTCCTGTGATTCTAATCGGTTTCATTTGGCACCAGTTTTTAAGGAGCGTAGCAATTTCTTCAGATACAGTCCCACGAAAACTAATGCCCAGTGATGTAGTGGGCTGAGAGCTGGAAGGGTTGAAGACCTAGGACTTCTTGAATAACAGGGAACAAGATATAATCCAGCACTTTCACTCCTAAGGTTTCCTTGTTTCTTCAGAACTTAATTTGCAATCTTAGTAACAGCTAGGGAAGAAATAGATTGCAAGATATTTCTGTTGTATCACAGAAGACTAGAGGGCGGTTTGGACTTGAACTAGCCATTAAGAGCCATTCACTTTTTTGTTGTTGTTTAGTCATTAAGTCGTGACCGACTTTTCATGACCCCATGGACCAGAGCATGCCAGGCCCTCCTGTCTTCCACTGCCTCCCGGAGTTGGGTCAAATTCATGTTGGTCACTTCGGTGACACTGTCCAACCATCTCGTCCTCTGGCGTCCCCTTCTCCTCTTGCCTTCACACTTTCCCAACATCAGGGTCTTTTCCAGGGAGTCTTCTCTTCTCATGAGATGGCCAAAGTATTGGAGCCTCAGCTTCAGGATCTGTCCTTCCAGTGAGCGCTCGGGGTTGATTTCCTTCAGAACGAATAGGTTTGATCTCCTTGCAGTCCAGGGGACTCTCAAGAGCCTCTTCCAGCACCACAATTCAAAAGCATAAATTCTTCATTAACTTTACAAAAATCCTGTATGGACCAATTCCTCCTGCCTGTATTTTTAGATTCTCCTTAATGAGGGGGTCTGGCTACAGAGACTGTTATTATCAGTTCCTGTACTTCCAAATTTACCACTATGCAGTGTGAATGCTGAATAAAAATTGTTACTCTTTAAGGTGCTGCATGACTCTTTGATGGGTCTGTCCCAACATATAGTATTAACACAGCTACCTTGTTGGAAGTTAAACTAAACCTGTTTCAGAGATAGGGTTCAACCTCTTCAATAGTGCCTGTAAATTGCAGACTAAAACTCAAGAGTTGATTCACAGCACATCCAAAACTAGAATCACCAGCGGCCACTGCCTTAGTGTTCCCCACATCTAATACCTGGATTTTGCCCCTTTGCTCTAATCTATACTGTATGCAGCTCTATGGGAGAGTTTTGGTTTTCTACAATCACAGGATGCTCCCAAGCAGAGGAATCGACAACAGCAGAGCATCAGATCACAACATATATACCTTTGCTCATAAGTGGAAACCCCACCTCATTTCATTTTGCCTAGTTTATTTATTTATATTTTTATCTTGCCCAGCTAGAAGCAAAGCTTGCACCCTCCATCCAGAACTGTAGCCTGCCAGCCAGCCCACCTGTCTATCAGCTAAGGAAAATCCTGGGCGGCTTCCTCAGGCTCTTGCTCCACTTGGCGGAAAATCTGATGCGGCCCAGCCTCACCCAGCCTCTGTCTCTAGCGGCCCCCAGGTAAATTGAGTTTAAAACCCCTGCTCTAATCTATATGCAGCTCTATGGGAGAGTTTTGGTTTTCTGCAATCACAGGATGCTCCCAGGCAGAGGAATCGACAACAGTAGAGCATCAGATCACAATATATATACCTTTGCTCATAAGTGGAAACCTCACCTAATTTCATTTTGCCTAGTTTATTTATTTATGTTTTTATCTTGCCCAACTAGAAGCAAAGTGAAGCAAAGCTGATATTCTGGGCAGCAAACAAATCAGGTTGAAGTTTTTTTCGAGCTGTTTGGCTGTGTTCTGGAGGTTTTTCTTCCTAACATTTCACCAGTTTCTGTGGCCAGCATCTTGAGAGGACAGGAGTTAGAACTCTGTCTGTGTTCTGGGATAGTTGAGTATTTGTAGCTGTGGGATCAGTTTTTTGTCCTTTTCAGGAGATTGGTTGATTATGGTGATCAGGGTGTTTTTTTGTTATGGATGTATTGCTGTGTTAAGGGGGTAGATGGTCTGTCACTGTGATTGATGGGTGTCATTAGCTAGTCCACTGGTTCTTAACCTTGGGTTACTCAGGAGGTTTGGACTGCAACTCCCAGAAGCCTTCACCACAAACTGTGCTGGCTGGGGTTTCTGGGAGTTGCAGTTCAAAAACATCTGAGTAACAAAGGTTAAGAACCACTGAGCTAATCTTTTGTGTGCAGTGATCACCGGTTCTTGTGGCTGGGTAGAGTTCGTTGACCTTTTTGCAGGCTGTATTTTTCAGTGCTGGGAGCCAGGCTTTGTTGAGTTTTAGACTTTCTTCTTTTTTGTTGAAGCTCTGCTGGTGTTTGTGGATTTCAATGGCTTCC